GTGATGCTTTTTTTGTATTTATTTTTACATTTATTAAAGCTTTGGGTGTTTATCTTCCTCTTCTGTTTGAGTCATTTTGAGGCCTAACTAATGTCACTTGCACTATCATGATCAGGAACACTCATGATATTTCAGTATGGAATAAAAAGCCATTAAGATAATTTGGTATAAAGTGAGGTTTATAAAAAAAAAATCTCTTTTTGACCTCAATATCTGGATAAGAGTAAGTTAATCACATTAAACGTTTATATAAAATGCCTGTATGCCATGTAAGTTATCGGTATTGAAAATATAATTGATTTCAATTGGTCCAGTATGGATCAGTTATAATTATTTACTTAAACTCTTTTAATAAAGTCTTTATCAGTGATGTGTTATTGAGAGAAAATAATAGGTAGCAGCTAAGAAGCTGATGTGTCTCTGAGCTGAAAAACAGAAAGTAGAAGGCCAGATTCTCCTCCCCTCTGATCCTGCAGCTCAACTGGAGTCATTCTTTCCTTTGGCTGTGCTGAACCGAGCAGCAGGGGGCTGGAACAAAATTAGCATTGCTGCAGGCAAAACCAGAGACTGACCGCTGGCTGCATTTTAGTCCTCTTGTACATCTGGTCATACATTCCTATGCAATGATAGTAAAACTAAGAATGAGTGTAATTACAGATTTTGTTTTGAAAAACACTGACTTTCAGACCTAATCTATGAACGTTGCAGTTTTCATAGATTTAAGCAGAAAGAATTCAAGTTACTTGTATGGTATAATTTGATTGTGATTCATACAATTATCACTGGTTGACTGACAGTTTTGTTCATCTCTGATTTAGGTGATGAACAGACTGACAGTGTTTTGAACAATCTTGGTCAATTATATTGAAATATTGTAGTAATTATGTTACAGTTTAGGTTTTGCCTGATAATCAAACATGCATATGTTTAAGGATTAAACATATGCATGTTTGGTTATCAGGCAATGCAAACAACCTGAAATTAAAATAAATAAATAATAAAAAATAATGAAAAAATGATTCAAAGTATTTTTCCTGCTATTCTTTTTATTATAGAGGTTTGAAATTCATTCTAAAAGACTTATATGACAAAATAAATTGACAAAACGATTTTGACATAAAAACCAAACAAAGCATTTTGTCACTTTTTATTAGTGGATACATTACAATAAAATAAAATCATCACAAAAATATTAGAAGCAAAAAGCAAAATAACTCTCATATAAAACATTAAGTGTGAATGCTATATTACATTCCTTAACAACATGATTTAAATACACTAATTCTAGATCTTTTTTATTGTTAAAAGAAACATAACAGTTTATTAAGGATGGGTGAAAGTGAAAAGAATCCCCTAGTGGAAATCTTCCTGGTGGAAGTTGTGTAGGTTTTCATTAAATTCTGTCCTACAGATGCATGGAAACCTTAAACTCACTCACTGCTAAAATCAATAATATTTTTCACTTAATTCATTCTTTTGAGTGTTTGCTAATCAGTAGGTTTCAATAACCTCTGGATGTTACAGAGACTAATGTTGGCTGGTTCTGTCAGCCCAGACGGTTAACATACTGGATTACCGTAGACACTGAGAATGTTATTTCTCAGCAATAGTGCTACTCAAACACCTCTGCTGAATCAGGGACACAGTTGGTGCTGTTGCACCAAAACCAGTCAGTACAGCTTGATGCTTGAACAGCAGCAAGACTTGCTCCAACCTGACCCAGGTACTAGATAACCAGAAGTTTGCTTTTGTAAAGTTATAGTGATGTTTATCAATGACCATGCCTCTGATCTCCATTAATACACCAGCTGAATCCCACTGCACTGCAGTCATGCAACAGAAACAAAGTTATCTAAAGTTTGCAAATAATAGTTTGAACTGATTCTCAGGAATCATGTATTTTTATATAAAAAAGACAGTCAACATATTCCTAGACCTCTTACAACATGCAACCATTGTGTAACATTTTAGATGATCTTACTGCAAAGATTGAGCCAAAGAAAAAGAGGGAAAGATTATACAGCAGTCTTGTTTCCTTTTGCCTGTTTTTTTTTTTCAATTGATATTGAGGTTATTTCTTCTTCACAGCTTAAGACTTTTTTAATTTATGATTTGGTTGTGTTCCTTAATTTTTTCAATGTAGCATCACACAGCTAAAGTTCTTTAAAAAGTTAAAAGGACTATTAGTGTGGATGTCTGTATGTGTTAGGGATCCAATCTCCCCTCAAAGTTTGATAAAATTGAAGTTCTTATGGATTATCTTAAAGATGGTGGACTCATGTTAGGGACTTTTCGCATTTTTTTTCTTGACTACAAGCACAAAGGAGGCTCATAAGTCAACCAACGCAGAGCAAGGAGAACTGCTTACTGACTTGTTCTTTTTAAGGAGATCACTGCTAAATGTAAGAATAGAATACTGAAATCCTGGTCATAAAAAGCATTGTAACAGGCATGACTTTTATATTTGGCCACTTTTCTTAGTAAAGCACTCTAACACAAGGTGGCGCCCTTTATCTACTTATGTGTCTTTTTTTTACACTGCAAACAAAGTGCAGCCTAAAAAAGTAAAAAAGTGTAATACTAAACAATCATAGGTGTTTTTAGCCTATTTTTTGGTGTGCTATATATATATATATATAGATATATATATATATATATATATATATATATATATATTTATATATATACTGTATGCGCTTTTTACAATAAAAAGCAAAAAAAAAAAAAGAAAAAAAGTGACATTGTAAAAAAAACTATACAGCAGTTAGTTTTTTAACCCCTTCAATTATGTTCTGGTTCATCAGTAATAATAATGAACAAACAAAAAAACAAGTAAACAAGCCTGATGGAGCTCCTTAACTTAAATTTTGACCAACAATTTGAGGAAAACACTGCATTCGGGTGGTTCTGAAATTATCAGTAAGATTTCTGCACCAATTGATGGTTTGTTGGTGAAATGTTCATCAGCGAGGTGCTCTAATGTGTCTGAGACTGGTTTGTTTAATTGTGTTTAAAACCAAAACTCGAAATGAATATCTAAATTTACTGAATCATTTGTTAATAGTTATAATTTTTTTCAGTTTCTAGTTATTTGAATTTATAATGAATTATTAATGATTGCCAGTCTAAAGAGGGAGAGGTGTACAAGGGGGAGCAGTGGAGCAAGCTGTGTGCAAAATAACAGGTCAGGAAAAACCAGGTAAGAAAACAAACAGAATAGTAGCAGGAAAAACAGCAGTTGTTAAACTGACAAAGAAAAACATTTCATTCAGTAGATTATTTTACATATATCATGGGAGTAATTTTGGCACACATGGGAGAAAACTTATTTCATGAAAACTGATTCAAAGGTTTCCATGACACAAGTTTATTTAAAAGCTTTAATTGGAATAACCTTCTAAAAAATGTTGCTTTTTGCTTTTCTTGTTAGGTTTTTGGCAAACGTCTCTGATATGATGCAGTAGATAATGATGGAGTCAGTCATTAGCAAAACGCACTGAACAAGTTTCAAAAATATGTGTAGAAAGCAATGAAATGTATCTTGTTCTGCCAGACAGCTCTCTGGGTGCTTACACCCCTAAAACCTATGATCTTAGGATCAACCTAGCTAAATATAACTTCTATTGCATTGTAAACCGGAATTTATAACCCTTTACAGTATTTTAGTCAAAATACAAAGGAAGAACACAAAAAAGATAGTTAAAATGGTAAAACCAAACAGTGTATACAGAACAGCTAGATAGAGCACACAGCCAATTTGATCATTCATCACTTTAAAGGAAAGATTTAAGAAATATGAACTCATAAAGCGATCATTGGAGAATGTAAAAATATGTTTCTATTTAATAGAAAGGGGGTGTGGTTTTTATCTTTGTTCCTCTTGGGCGAGGAAAGACAAAAGATCAAATCTGTCTTACAGTAAATGTTACAAATTGGTTCTGTATTATTATGAGTTTAGAAAGCTAATCAATAAAATGAATAAATGAAAGAACATAATTAGCTATTTTATGACCCTTTAGTAAAAGCGAAATTTCCAGTTTCAAATGAATCACTCTGTTCCGCTTTTGGCGAATGCTTTCCCAGTAATTCGTAACACATAGGCCAAATAATATTACTAATAACACAAGCAAAAAAATTTAAGTGAGACCTTGTTTTTTTGAGCTGAGTAAAAAACTGTCAGCCTTTTGAAAGATGATGATAAATGAAACCACATTTTCATCCTTGATAAGTGAAGCATAATCTCTCTGAACTTTACTCCCTTTTCTTACAGGATGCAGCTGCAAACCTCGCCTCAGTTTTTATACCATATTTAAATGAAGGGCTCAACTTTCTGAATTGATAATGCTAATTTCTTGTTCTCTAAATCATAATTAGTTTATATACCAGAGTTGACATAACTCATTATCTGTTAAAGAATGAGGATAGGGACTGCTAAAAGTGCTGCACAATGTTTATGAATAAGTGACAAGAGAAGAAACTGTGATCAGTCTGTATGAATCATATTTTGATCTTGATTCTTAATGATGTTTGTTGAGGGAATTTTAATTTGAACTATTGGTTTACCCACCGCTAATTTCAGGCTTTGCACATATGGATGAAAATAGTTAAATCTATTGAACGTTGAGAAAGTGTCAGTTAAAACATGTCTCAGGAAGTTTCCTCTAAAAAAAAATGTCCCTATCATTTGCATAAACTGTAAGAAGAAAAAGAATAGGAGACCTGCAGGTGTATCCTGTGAGATGAGAGATATTTGAAAAAACTGAAAGAGTCAAAGTACTAAATCACAACACAATAAAAATGTTAAGACATCAATGTGATATTCGCTTTGCTGTTTTTTATTGATTAAAGGCTAGGCTAATTAGAAATACATTACAAATGATAGATTCATGCTTGTAACAACTATAGCTAAGGTTTTTAGAAAAAAAAAAAAAAAAAAAAAAAAAAAACAATAACAGAAACATAAAAAATAGCAATAAAGAAGCAGATTATAGATGATTGTGGTCCTCTACTGTTCTTCAGCAGGACATCCTGACTTGTTGATGGTTTTCTCTGCAGTCTGGGAGCCCAAAGACACTTTACAGGTATAAACCTTATTCATGTTCCAGTCTGATGTCTGGATGGACAGAGAACTGCTGATGTGGAAAGTCTGGTCTGGTCTCTGAACAGCAGTGCTGGTAGAGATCCCACTGGTCACTGGACTCCCACCAACCAACCAGCTCACATCTGCAAAAGGCGCAGACTGACTGGACAGACAGAGCAGAGTGGCTTTGTTGGTCTGCAGCTCAGCACTGGATGGAGGGAAGACAGTCAGGACAGGAGGAGGGAGACTGGAGTCTGGAAAGACATGGAGGACATTATCAAATAACACTATTATGCCAGCAACGACATAGCACTTGATTGCATTAAAACATGGGTCATAAATGAAAGTTGAAACAACTTTGTAATGACACTGAAGCTCTTTAGAATTTTCTGTTATTCTAGCAACGTTTATGAGCTTGATTTTTTTGGTTTGTCAGATTTTAAACTACATATTTAGTTGCGACTTAAAACACAAGATAATGAACATGACATCCCTATGACAGATAGAAAAGCATTATCCATTAAAATTTATATTCTTGTGAATTTACTATGGGAAAGGTAATATTTACAACCTCATTTTTGTTATGAGGTATTCGTTTTTAAAAGATGGTCAGATGTAATCTAAAATGTAAAATATATTTAGTTTAATATAAAATAAAGTTTAAGAGAATCATTAATTACAAAAAATTGATCCCATTAAAATTTCTCTGTTAACAAAAAATTAAAAAGCAAATTGTATGATATCACTTCTTCTGTCATTCTTACCTCAAAATAATAGTACAATTCTGGATGTTTTTATCGACTTTTATCATTTCAGAAGAAATATTTCTGTATCATGTGGTTTCTTTCAGTCTCAGGAGGAAAGAATCAATTTGGTAAACATGTTAAATTTGACAGAACATGATACAGCCTTTTGTAACAGTTTTACATAATTTACTTCAACTCCGTTCATCAGTTGCATTAGATCCTTACTTTTGATCAAAGTAAAACATTTATACAAAAAAATCGCCAAAATATGAACATTCAATCTTTAAGCATATATTTAAAAGTAATTCTTTGACAATGAAACAGAAAATTTGAAAAAACTCTTATTTAAAAGTAATTAAAACAAATCCTTACCTGTTACAATCAGCTTGGTTCCTTGGCCGAATACCACAGTGATTCAGTTTGTATACATGGCCGTACAAAAACCTCCTGATTGTCTCTGATCAGGGAGTGGAACTGAAACCTGCTGAGACCAACTTTCACTGAAAACATGTCAAATGCCTCAATGGTGATGTATTCCTGGAGCATTATTAGACCAAAATTAAAGAAAAAAAATAAACAAAACAAAAAATAGTCTGTATTTCTCATTTCTTAATCGAAATGAATAGACTTTATATTACGTTCTCATCTTGACTCAAGGGAGAGCACTGTTAACCTATTTTGTAAGGGTCCTTCTGGTGTGACAGTGAGGAAAGGTCACACAGCCAACATAAAATGTTACCTGGGGACTGTTACTGTCAGTCCTGCTTGTTGGTGTATTTCTAGGTAAATTCACACAGTCTGTGCTGATCTATCATGATGTTGATAGTTCAGCCTGGTATGGCTGTTTTTATCTCCAAAGTTCACATCCGACCATTAATCAAAATCAGATAATATTTTGATCATCAACAAAGTAGAGTAGCAGGACTCTGCTGTTTATTACTGTAAAAGATGGGATGGCTCTGACAATGAGAGGACTTCACATTGATTAAAGGCAAAAACTTCACTACAAAGACTTGTGCTGTTTGACATATTCAATAAAATCGTACATAGCTGTAAGCTTTTGAAATGAAAGAGAAGAGATGTCATTTTTACACAGCTTTTTTTTTATATATGTAAAATTTGCATGTTGTCAGTTTGTGTTCCTAAAATATATAGCTGTGAGTTGAACCTTTAAAATAGAAGGCTGACTCAAAGTATAACAATCTAGGTAAATGAAAACAGGGCAAGAAAGAACATTTACTTCCAGTCTTAAAAGCAATGTTTAAGGTTCCATTTTGCTGGAGCTTACTTGAAAAAAAATAATGGTTTGATTTTATTTTTCTTATGAAGTTGTAGCTTTTTTGGGTGAATAATTTATATTTCTTTGGTTTCTGATCATTAAACATGAAAAAATAAAGTTCTGTTGATAATGGCTCTTTGATTGTGGAAGGGTAAACATATGATCCTTGATTTTACATTGAGAATGAAGTAAATCATTAATCAAGCCGTTAATAAGACTTCCTAGTTTAGCAAATATAAAACAATTCAGAAAATACTTAATTACGTCCAGATATTGTACTTTCCTTAGTTTAGTTATTAAAATGAGATGGGATTTCTTATAATCTGGAATTGTTTTTTTTTAATAGGGGGTCTTGGCTTTGGGTTTTTTTCATTCAATTTTAATAGAATGTTCTCACTGTCATTGTTCTGTGTTTAATAAATGAGCTTAAATAACCATAATATTTCACCAAAGGGGATTTGTATTTCCATTAAATGAAGACTTAAAGGATCTAAAATTTGGCCTTGAAATGTTTTTATCCTTTGTGCATCACATATCAACAACTTAAAAAGCAGAAGTATTGACAAGGTTTTTGTCATGGTGTGAATCACTGTGATACCAACTCTTCAGCAGAGTCATCCCATGTGCTACAGTAATATACTGCAGCGTCTCCTTCTTCAACATTGCTAATTCTAAGCTGATAATCTGAGTTTGACTGATGATTAACAGTAAATTTGGGAGAGGAGAAACCAGAACCAAAATCTGGAGCGCTCCAGTCCTCATAAAAATTTAAAACAAACTGAGGGATTCCTCCTGGAATCTGTTTGTAAAAACGTGGTCCATTAACAGCTGAATTACAGTCCATGTTGGCCGTCTCTCCTAAAGGCACCTGTGACACAACTACCACACCATTCACACCTGCAAGCAAAGACATGACATAAAGTTACAGTAAACAGAACATAGACAGATTATTCCAACAGGAGCTCCAGTCTGCAGTAAGTCATCCTGCTTACATGTTAGAGCTGTGATGAGAGAGCAAAGGGTCCCCAGCATGTTGTCAGTTTCTGCTAAGAATGATCTTGGTCCTTCTGAAGTGACCTTACTTCTGACAGATGAGAAAGTTTAAAGGATGAGGAGAGGAGGTGGAGGAGATATTTATCAGAAGACTCAGACTAACAGCAACAGACAGGAGGAGGAGCTCTGATACGTTATGGTGTGAAGGACTTCTTTGACTAAATTTGGTTTTCTTGATTTGTTTTTAATTATTTTAGCATCATGAAATAGTAAATCCACTTTTTCTCAAACAGTACTCCAAGTCAGATCAGGGAAGGTCAGGTTGGCTGAAGTTAATGAGAGAGCTCACTGTGGTGCAACCTGGAGGCATGGCTGAAACCAATTTCAGATATTAAAATCAGATATTTTCATTTTACTGTACTATTTTTCCCTTTAAACCACTGTTCCTTTTTGAGGATGTTTCTCCATAAAGCATCATGAAAACTTAACCAAATTATCGCTATAACTTGTGTTTTTCTCTAATTACATGTGAGCGTACTAAGCAAAAACTTTTTAGACTTGTTGAAACAGAGAATTGTTTATTAATTTCATAACCACATTTTGTTTAGATCCAGCCACTTTACAAAAAACTTTGATTTATTCAGAATGTGACAGATTGTATCATGAAACAAAGTGAATGTGATAGTTTTTTCCTTGTTTGCTTTGACACTGAGGTCTATAATTTCTCTGGAAATGTGGACAAACTTCAATATCATCTTGCATTTTTGTATTACAAACTCTGGATGAAAAACAGCCTGTATATCCCTGGTTTGATCTGAAATAAGTTAATGAGAGAGCTCACTGTGGTCCAGCCTGGAGGCAGTGCTGAGTCTGCTGCATGGACTCCATGAAATAAGTAAATAAAAAGTTAAATAATTAAATCTATATTTGAAAGAAATGTTAATAACTTTTTGTATTATTTAATATTATTGTTGAAGATGTATGTTTAATTATTTAACAGCACATTAAATATTCAATTCTACATTTCATAATTTAATGGTACTTACAAATATTTAGTTATATATTAAATGAAAACATAAATAGTACATTTTTTTCATTTCTTTATTTAACCAGGTAAACCTCGTTGAGATCTGGATCTCATTTTCAAGGGGGACCTGGGCAGAGATCTCCAGTACACTGCAACCTGGTTACAAAAAATAAAACCAATTAATACATATGCACAAATATAAAACATTAAAAACTATTTAAAAGCAGTGACACTGTTTCATAGAAGTTTGTTGTCTATCTTTAAGAATATTTAAAAACTGTTTATGACACAATCCTGGCTCCTTTTTGCCAAGACCTATAGCATTCACTTGAACAGTTCACAGCTGAGAGTGAAGTGGCAGGGATGAGGATCAGCTCCTCCTAGTTTGGAATAAAGTGGTCTGCCCTCCTCAAGTTGGAGGAGAGTTTCTTCCTCAAGTAGAGGACTTTAAGTAACATGGGGTCCTTTTCATTAGTGGGGCACAGTTTCCTGTCTTTGCCTGCTTTTGTTAATTTTTGAAGTGGAATTGGAGTCACATTTTTGTGAGGAGAAACTTGCTCTAAAGCGTAGTGATGCATGGGAAGGATGAAAGGTAGAACAAGCTGAGGAGTCCCACCAGGCACATGTTTGTACCAGATGATATATGTCAATTTTCTCTAAGAAAGTTAGAACAACTTGTTGTCCTGTAGAAACTGTGTGAACAGCAGGTGTCTGGGTCAAAACATAGACTGCTTCAGCAATTGTAAATACAAAAGCATATGGGAATTTGAAATCAATGTTACAAAAAAAGAACAATAAAGTGAACCAAAGCTGTAACTTACAGGACAAAACAGTGATGGCTGTACAGTAGATTAGTAGCTTGTTGTCAGCTTGTGGTGTCAATGTTCCCTAAAATGAAGGTGAGAGAACATGACTGAGATGTATAAAGAAGCTGAGAAGAGAAAACAGGGATATTTAAGGTACTACAAAAAACAGCAACAGCATTATTTACCACATGCTTTTTAATGCTTTCAAATGATAATAGATTGCTGAAGTTCAACGGTATATATATGGTAATGTTTACATTATTTTAAACTTGTCATTACTTATACTCTGATTTGAACTAAACTGAATTGGCCCTGTATTTATACCATGAGCACATTGAGGTGTGAAAGTTTAATTTCATTCAATATTTAAATTATATGTCAAGAGCGAATAAGCTTTGTGACAAGCTCATGTGCTACACTACTCAAAAAAATTAAAGGAACACTTTGTAATCAGAGTATAGCATCAAGTTAATTAAACTTCTGGGATATTGATTTGGTCAGGTAAGTAGCAGAGGGGGTTGTTAATAGTTGCAGCTGCTTTGGTGTTAATGAAATTAACAACAGGTGCACTAGAGGGGCAACAACAAGACGACCATCAAAACAGGAATGGTTTTACAGGTGGAGGCCACTGATATTTTTTCCCTCCTCATCTTTTCTGACTCTTTTTCAATCGTTCTACATTTGGCTAGGGTCACTGTCACTACTTTCAGCATGAGGCACTGTACCTGCACCCTACAGAGGTTGCACAGGCAGTTCAACTCCTCCAGGATGGCACATTAATACATGCCATTGCCAGAAGGTTTGCTGTGTCTCCCAGCACAATCTCAAGAGCATGGAGGAGATTGCAGGAGACAGGCAGTTACTCCAGGAGAGCTGGAGAGGGCCATAGAAGGTCTACAACGGATCAGCAGGACCGGTATCTGCTCCTTTGTGCAAGAAGGAGCAGGAGGAGCACTGCCAGAGCCCTACAAAATGACCTCCAGCAGGCCACTGGTGTGAATGTCTCTGACCAAACAATCAGAAACAGACTTCATGAGGGTGGCCTGAGGGCCCGACGTCCTCTAGTGGGCCCTGTGCTCACTGCCCGGTACCGTGCAGCTCGATTGGCATTTGCCACCGGTACCGTGCAGCTCGATTGGCATTTGCCACCGGAATTTGCAAGTCCGCCACTGGCGCCCTGTGCTTTTCTCAGATGAGAGCAGGTTCACCCTGAGCACGTGTGACAGATGTGAAAGGGTCTGGAGAAGCCATGGAGAATGTTATGCTGCCTAATACATCATTCAGCATGACCGGTTTGGTGGTGGGTTAGTGATGGCCTGGGGAGGCATATCCATGGAGGGACGCACAGACCTATACAGGCTAGACAAAGGCACCCTGACTGCCATTAGGGATCCGGATGAAATCCTTGCACCAATTTTCAGACCCTATGCTGGTGCAGTGGGTCCTGGGTTCCTCCTGGTGCACGACAATGCCCGGCTTCATGTGGCGAGAGTATTCAGGCAGTTCCTGGAGGATGAAGGAATTGATACCATTGATTGGCCCCCACATTCGCCTGAACTAAATCAAATCGAACACCTTTGGGACATTATGTTTCGATCCATCCGACGCCACCAGATTGCACCTCAGACTGTCCAGGAGCTCAGTGATGCCCTGGTCCAGATCTGTGAGGAGATACCACAGGACGCCATTCGTCGTCTCATTAGGAGTACAGTATGCCCCGACGTTGTCAGACCTGCATACACGCACGTTGGGGCCATACAAATTACTGAATACCATTTTGAGTTGCTGCAATTAAATTTCAGCATAATGGACTAGCCTTCCTGCATCATTTTTTAACTGTAATTTTTGGGGTGTCTTTGAATTTAGCCCTCTGTAGGTTGATAATTTTAATTTCCATCAAACGATGTGACATTCTTTTGTTTCTAACACATCACCCAGTCCATATCAGTATAAATAAACGGTATGATTTTTTTCCCCAATGAGATCTGATGTGTTTTCAAAGTGTTCCTTTAATTTTTTTGAGGAGTGTATTTTCTTGCCCCCTAGTGTCCGTTTTCGTTCCCCTTACTATTTAGTTGTTCCTGCCCACACCTGCTCCCTATTAACTGATTAGCCCATTTACTGTATGTTTCTCCCATGCGCTATATACGCCATGCACCTTTTCCTTCTTTTGGCACCTTCGTTCGACTATTGAGCTGATATGAAATGAAAGTGAGAGATGGAGTCTTATCTTATCAAATATACATCTCCTGTGTAGTTCCTCTTTGCTGGATTCTCTTTATTACTTATGTTAGTTTCACTGAGCGTCTCCTAGTTTTTGATTCCTGATTTCTTTGCCTGTTTTTTCGGGATTAGTTGTTTCTGTACTATCAACATCTTCATTAAATCTGCAAAACAAAAATCATCTCTGCCTGTTCATCTCTGAATCTGGGTCCTCAAAAAACATCCACCAAACCTGACAGCTTCTCAGTGTCTCAGATATTCTGGATGCATAAGGAATGAGAATGTTTTTGCATCAGTCTGATTTCTCCATTGTGATACCTCAAGATATCACAATTCTAAGTTTAAAAAGAAAAATAATAAGAAGAACCAGAGATGAACATATGTTTGAGCAGCAATTATAATTCAGAGAGGCCACAGCATGTTGTCAGTTTGTGTTCCTAAAAATATAGCTGTGAGTTGAACCTTTAAAAGAGAAGGCTAAATCAAAGTATAAGAATCTAGGTAAATAAAACAGGGCAGGATAGGAAATTTACTTGCAATGTTTAAAGTTCCATTTTGCTCAAACTTACATAAAAAAAATGGTTTGATTTTATTTTTCTTTTACAGTTTTAGCTTTTTTTGATGAATAAGTTATACTGTCTCATTTTGTCTTAGTTTCTGATCATTAAAGATGAAAAAATAAAGTTCTGTTGATAATGGTACTTTGATTGTGGAAGGGTAAACACATGATCCTTGATTTTATATTGAGACTGAAGTAAATCATTAATCAAGCTGTTAATGAGACTTGCTAGTTTTGCAAATATGAAACAATTCAGAAAATACTTTATTAGGTCCAGATTGTGTACTTTGCTTAGTTTAGTTGTTAAACTGAGATGGGAGTTTTTATAAACTGGTGTTGTTTTCATAGGGAGTCTTGAGCTTTGTGTTTTTTTTTTTTTTAATTTTAATAGAATGTTCTCACTGTCATTGTTCTGTGTTCAATA